AATAGTTGTTTAATGAATGGTGTTACCCATAACAACACCTGACGTATTTTGAGTACTTTAAACAATTATGAATTTACGTCGTGCAACATAAATTAAATTTATCACAGTGATCATCAAATTGTGACATAAATAGAATTTCCACTATGCTACGCATCGATCAACAAACTTTTTTTCTTTTTTTTGTTCTTGTTACAATGCCACAAAAGAAAGATTCAAATAAAAGAAGCAAAACTGAAGTTCGCGAGGAATATTTTGATCAAGTGTTTTAAGGATGGTGGTGGTGGTGGTTATTGCCCACCACTCGTCGTCATTCTAGTTATTTTTAAAAATGATGATTGTGGTTATTGTTGTTAAAATAAAAATTTTTGTTATTCCATATTATTCATTTTCTTCTTATATATATATATCCAACCAAAAAACTTAAAAAAGAAAATGTGATGTCGATAAAGAAAATTTGGAAATAAATGAAGGTTAAGATAACAACAACAATATAAAATCGGTGGAGTTGGAAGAGTTAGAGCTTAATAATGAGATAGTTATTGGAGAAAATGAAATTTCAGATTTTTATCCGTTAAATGATGTAGAATCAACTATCAATGAGGCAGAACCCAGTAGTGAGTCTCTCGTACAAAAATATCCAAATGTAGATAGCCCGAAAGATAATTGGCTTTTACCTTCAGGAAGATTGATAAGAAATATAATTTATGGGCCAAAGAATTTTCACAAATCGCAGTAAGTTGCAGATTTATATTTTCTTTTATCTCATCTTCCAATTTCACATATACAATTGTTATTTGTTTATATCTTTAGTCCATCACATTTTGGAATAATACGTATTGGTGTCAATGTTCGTAAGCCCGAATGGATAGAGGATGAAGATTGGATCTATTTGAATTCAACTGTTGAATTCCCACGCTTTAAATTATCTTCTAACACAGAAGAATTACTAATTTTACTTTTAAAGACCGTAAGTGTAATCAATATTGTTATTATTATTTTTTTAATAAAATTTTATTAACAAATGTTAATGATAGGACTCTTTAACCGAATATAAGAAAACCATTCGTGAAGCAAAATACAAAAATGATATCGATCCTGAAATGGAATTTATTACGGATGTTCTTTGGTGGTTGTAAGTGTTCTAACAACAATTCATTAAATTAATCTCTGATTTTTTTATTTATTTATTATTTATTGATTAATTTTTATTTATTTATTATTTATTGATTAATTTTGATCAATTTTGAAGTGCAAATAATGTATTTAATACTATACATGTCACTAAAATTATTGAATTGCGTCAGACGCAATTAAAAATCTGTAAAATTGCGTCTTGCATCACTCATCATAATTTTTATGACTGACTCAAGACGCAATCCGTGATCGTTTTTTTTTTATTTTTTAATATTAACATGTTTCCAAAAGTTACTTTAAGCATCTCGGGAAACATAAGATACATTCGTATAATATGTATTTTATTAATTATTTATTTATTGTAATTTTATATAATATACGAATGTAATTATTGATTGTTAGAAGTAATTTGACTTCTAGGATTGTATTTGCGAAATTGAACGTAAAATTCATAAAAACTGTTATAATTTGATAACAGCGAAAATTAAATTATTACAACGCTATTGTAAGACAGTGCATATTCCATCATTCACGAATTGCGTCTCGCGTCACGAATTGCGTCTGCGTCAATGCGTCTCACAGTGAACCAATTGCGTCACAGGACTTTTAATTTTGACCACATGTATAATGTCATTCTTTCAATTGATCTTTTATTTTGTAATATAGCATCAGGAAATTTTTCTGACGCAGATTTACGTAAGTTTGCGGTGGGCCGGTAATATTATGCAAATAAGCATACAAAAATTATGCGATTATTTACATCGAGTGTAAATATTACATAATTTTTATGCAAATATTACAACTTTACATATTAAAATTTATGGACGGCGGGAAAAATTTCCTGATGTAGTAGTATACACAAAATTAAAAAATTCATTTGAATAAGTGAAAATTGAACATCAAAAAAAATGTTATTTAAATATACCATATTTGCAACATTTTCTTCAATTAATTGTAACAGTGTTTCAATCAATTATAACATTTGCCTCAATTAATTGTGACAACATTTCAATTAATTATTATTATAGTAATAGCATTTGTCAATTAATTATGACACTTGATATGTCATGAGACCCCAATGATGCTTGAGATGGATGATCAGATAATTTGTTGTATTACATTGTATTATAAGAAAAAAAAATGAATATAACTATATTATTTAATCGTCGTTTGTTTATCCTCAAGATTAATCGTGTTAATATTACTAATTCAATAATAGCAATAAATTCGCATAATGGACGAGCCCACACAACCCAAACCAACAGGATCAAAACAAATAACAATATTAATACTAGGGTCAGTAACATTAACACCAATAATTCTAAAAGTATAACTAAATCATTGTTATCACTACCATCGCCACCAGTCTCATCGTCATTATCTGACGATGTATATCAACGTTTTCGATCTAGAGAGATGTTGAGGTGGACACAGGAGGAAACTGATTTGTTGGAGAAAGCGGTTGTCAAACACGGGACTGAATGGGAATTAATATCAGTGGAATATTTCAATTGCAAAAAAGACACTGCAGCTTTATCACGAAAATGGAACTACATTAGAAAAAATAAATCACTGTTATATTACGATCGATGGACAGAGGAAGAAGATAAGAAACTGAAAATGCTTACTAAAAAGCATGGAACAAACAATTGGAGCAAAATTGTGGAACAGTTTAATAATACACGGAATCTACTACAAATTAAAAGACGATGGGAACAACTAGCATGGAAAAAAAAAGGTAAATGGTTACCGGAGGAACATGCGATGTTGACACTTTTAGTAGAACAGTATGGGTTCAAGTGGAATGCTTTCTCAAGAGTTCTTGGTAGACCACCCGGAACTTTACGACTATACTATGACTATGCCATAGCCAATCCACCTTGGACGAAAGTTGAAAATGATCAATTGTATCAGGCGGTGAAGGATCATGGCGAGGATTGGGATAATATCAAAGAATTGTTTCCTTATCGATCAAAAAATAACCTTAAATATCATTATGACAGATCAATATCGGTTAATCCTTTAATTAAAAAAGGAATTTGGTCTGAAGAAGAGATTAGGGCTCTTGAGATTTCCTACAGTAAGCATGGAAAGAAATGGAGATTGGTTTCTGCTGATGTTGGTACAAGATCTTCGATCCAATGTAGATTACGATTTAAGGCTTTAAGTGAAAAAGATAATAAATAATTGAGACGAAATTAAATCATTATCTGAATTTGAAAAAATTGATCCGATAATGCAACAAACAGTTAGTTAATGATAATGATAGTCTAACAACCACAGTATAATAATTATTGGTATAAATGATCTTATCAAATCATTATAAAAAAAAAAAAAAAAAGTGTGAAAGCTTTTTTTTGAAATAGTCAAATCGCAAGTATAAATGATATCATCACATAACAATAAAATCAATTAAAATGACATATTATATATATTTATGATTTTCACCGGAATATATAATTTTTTTTACCAATTAAACCTTTTGCCAATTAAAACTTTTACTATTAAACTTTTTTTTCCACATTTTAATATATAAATAAATTTATTTTTATTTTTATTTTTATTTTTGTTTTTATTTTTATTTTTATTTCCAAAATTTTCCCCTCAAAAAAAAACTCAAATATAATCTGTGATCAATAAATCATTAGCAAAGGCATATTATCTTTTTAATTTGATTTATCCATCAAAATTTTTTTTTTGCATATTAAAATATAAATAATCATGATATTAAATAATATATATATAAATAAATAATTGCTAATAACATTTTTATGCCTTTACCATTTTTTTAGCACGCGAGTAGTTTGCCCAAATCATTAATTTTTAATATAGTTAGTTACACATAGCATACGAAATTATAAAAGGACGACGGCGATTATAATGTATTGCCAAGGAGGTGATGATTCATTATTTGCAAGTAAATATATTTTTATTCGAAATTTTATTATAATTTATGTTTTGATTAATGAAAAAAATTTTTTTTTTCAAGTTTCACCCTCGACACACAATTCGTCATCATCATCATCATTGTTACCAATTGAAAGTTCAATTTCGGCGTCTTTATTAAATAATCATACTTTTCCTTCTGCTTTATCCACCACGACTACCGTAACCGTAACCGCTGTTGCTACTTCACCCTATCAATCATCACCTACTACTACTGACATACATGGACAATCATCTTCATCGCAACAGCAAGAATTACCACTACAGCAAGTACATGAATTGTCATCATCACCATTATTAAAAAAAGAGCAAGAAGGACAAGAGAAAATGCATTATCATTCCCCTCAAAATGATGATGATCATCAAAATTTTCCACAAAGAGACAGATTTGTTGATCATCTTTCTAGTAATAATAATATACAACCACATAATAATAATGAGAATATACAACAATGTACGTTCTTCTTTTTTTATTCATTTTAATTAATGAATTAACTGATTTGTTAATCGCTATTTTTAGATTTTCTTGATCTTTGTTCCCAAGAAATAACTCAACAACGTAATCAACAGCAACAGTTTAACACTACCAATTCACATATTTCGTATGAAGAAACTAGCAATAATACAAATGATGATGATCTATTACAATTTATTATTAATCCTTGTTTATTTAATATTGAAGATGGCAAAAATGGTAAAAATTTTTCTTTAGGTTTTGTTATCCTCCAAGATTAAATTAATTAATTAATCTCTTTTGAATTAAGGAGGAAATGATATAATGTCAACTCATCATCACACAAATTACTATAATAGTTATATCAATAATGGTGATGACGACGATGATGGAAATCTTAACATCAATAACAAAAACAATAATTGTAATAATAATAATAATAATAATAATAATAAAGAGAATATATGTGCTAATGGCATTGATATTAATAATAACAATGAAATAAATATAGTTGGTAGTCTTGACATTGACGATGACAATAGTTTTGGCATCAACAAGACAATTCACAATCACACTTTTGATCAATTTTTAGAACATCCTACTAAACGTCAAAAACTTTTGAAAACATCATGTAATAATAACAATGATGACGATAATCTGGATTTTTGTGATATTGGTATTGATAATGAATCATCAATTCAATGGAATAATAATCATAATAATACTACCATTATTACAAGTAATGATAACCACAATATTCATATTAGTAATAATAATAATATTGGAAAAGATGATTTGATGAAATTTCAACAACAACAAAATTCATCATCGAGTAATTCTGTAGATATCTTTCATTTAATAGAAAATGATGATTTAAAAAATGACTTGATTAATTTATCATCGCCGTCATCATCACTAACACTTCAGCCACGGTCTTTGCTGTTAACATCAAAATTATCTCCTTCATCATCAACCACAACAATCATAGCTAATAATGATAGTTTATCTGAACGAGCAAACCAATTTTCAGAAAAACGACCGCTCATATCTACAATATCTTATAATGATGATGGTGTTGATGACGATAGTACAACAACTACATATCCATATCTTTTGAGAACAATTCCAAATAACTCTCAAGTAAACGACGATAATAATGATAATTCTTCAGCTGCCGCTTCAATATTATATCGTGAGCAAACAAAATCAATTAAAAAAGAAACAAATTTAACAACTCCAGTTTTAATGGTACCAATTGATGATTACCACACATCATCAAATATTTCATCAACATCGTCATTACTTCATCATCAAAAATATTCAACATTTCAAATTCAACCAAAAATTGATATGAATGAAACTATACCTGAAACACCCAGGCCGCCCGCTGATCCTAACGATGATCTGGCACAAAGGCCGGATGCTCTACCAAGAAGGCAAAAATTACGATATCCAGGAGATTTATATACTCCTCAATGGGTCAGATACTCTGGTCATAAAAAAGAAGGTTATTGTGATAATTGTGAACCAGATAAATGGTTACAACTGAAAAATAGTGCTTACTGGTAAGTGCAAAGTTTATTATTATATAATATATGCGTTTGTGTGTATAAATATTCTGATTAATGATATTATTATTAAATAAAGGTATCACAAACAATTTTTGCATCTACAATATCTTATAATGATGATGGTGTTGATGACGATAGTACAACAACTACATATCCATATCTTTTGAGAACAATTCCAAATAACTCTCAAGTAAACGACGATAATAATGATAATTCTTCAGCTGCCGCTTCAATATTATATCGTGAGCAAACAAAATCAATTAAAAAAGAAACAAATTTAACAACTCCAGTTTTAATGGTACCAATTGATGATTACCACACATCATCAAATATTTCATCAACATCGTCATTACTTCATCATCAAAAATATTCAACATTTCAAATTCAACCAAAAATTGATATGAATGAAACTATACCTGAAACACCCAGGCCGCCCGCTGATCCTAACGATGATCTGGCACAAAGGCCGGATGCTCTACCAAGAAGGCAAAAATTACGATATCCAGGAGATTTATATACTCCTCAATGGGTCAGATACTCTGGTCATAAAAAAGAAGGTTATTGTGATAATTGTGAACCAGATAAATGGTTACAACTGAAAAATAGTGCTTACTGGTAAGTGCAAAGTTTATTATTATATAATATATGCGTTTGTGTGTATAAATATTCTGATTAATGATATTATTATTAAATAAAGGTATCACAAACAATTTTTGCATGGAATTTCTTCAGTATCTGGAAAAATGTTTATTTCTCCGGTGGAAATACGCAAATTTGACTCGCCTGGCAAACGTACCGAAGGTCTTTGTCATCAATGTAATCAATGGGTTACAATTTCAACTTCTCGTAAAAAAAATTCTATGCTCTGGTACCGTCATGCTCATAAATGTCATGTTTACATCAAACCAAAAGTTATCCACAAAATATTAAAAGAAGATAGACTTTAGATTTTTTTTAGATTTCATTTTAATTTTAAAATTTTATAATTCTTTACTTTTATTTTGTGAAATTACATTATGATAATAAAGAAAGCGCAAATTTAACATCAATCAATTACGTATAATTTATACTGGATTTATAATGCCTGCTATTAAATAGATTTGTGCGGTGTACATGGAGCTTGGCAAAATCATTCTAAATTTGGCCAAATTAAATTATCCTAAACATTGAAATATTCAATTAAGAAAAAATTTCGTGATTACTCTTTTAATGGTTAGAAAAAATTATTCCAGAAGCTCTTGAATCAATATCTTTAGAGCACATTAGAAAGTATGCAAGGTGCTCTTATCCGAGAAACGAAAAAAAAACATATTAATATCAATAATTCACGTATATTATGGCTTAGTTTGAATTGTACATTGAAAAACTTTGCTCTAGAATTTAATATTGGAAGTCAAATACATTCTAATGTAATTTTAAAAAAAATTATCCTCCTTTTTTAATGGGATCTTAGAACCAGAAAATGCTCAATCAAACCTTCGATGACCACCTCCTTTGATTCAGCTGAAGGAATTTGATGAATGGAGCGTTTGTTGATGATACTTCATCAAACATTGTTATTATCAACGGCTTTGTTGAACAGAATGATCATAAAAGAGGAACCCATCACTCTGATATTGCAAATATGCAGATTTTGCTTTTGCCCTTTTTAATATTGATTATGCAAAATACATAAAATTATGTCCCAAGAATATTTTAAAATAGTCAAAATCAGCGAATATGCACATGATTTTAAATTGATTTCAATGCGTGCGAATATTCGTAATATTTCTTAGCAACCATGATCGAGTCAATTAATCATCTATTAAACCTCCACAAAACAATTCAACCTAATGATCCACAAAAAGTATTTATATTATCTGTTATAATATCTTTAAATACTTTAATTATATATATTTCTATGCCAGGTACCAATCAGGAGAAGAGTCAAGATATCTAAATTAATTGATACTAATAATTTAAAATTACAAATTATTGATAATGAATATTGGGATTTATCATTATCAGAATTATCTTCTTTTCTTGCTTGATCCACTATTAAAAAAACTCTACCATTTTGAGGTGAATTTAACTTCTTTGAAAAGGTAGTTTTGCAATTATATATACAAGACTACTTGAAGAGATCGTAAGAATATCCCAATAAAAAAAAAAGATCTGGTGGAAAATTGGGGATGTTCACTTCACTTTCAAGGCGATGACTAATTTTCTACAACCTTGAGGAATAAAAAAACCCCATTTTACTCTCTATATATAGTAATAACACATGACATGTATATATTTTGATTTCTTTTTTAGCAAGCTATAAATAATTAGTTATTTAGCGTTAGATTACCTATTTTGTTGACTTAGGATATGAAATGAATTATAATTGGCCAAATAAATAATTAATATATTAATATAGGATGATCTTAATCAATTAATTCAAATTTTTTTTCCCCAAAAAGAACAAAAAGAACAATAATAATAATAATCACATAATGTTGGAAGAAGAAGAATTAGACAATATGATGAGAAAATTAGAGATATTGGAAGAAATGAATGCACAATTTGAAGGAGGAAAGGTTCGATTGGAAGACAATGAAAATGAATTGATAACAGAAAATAGTAAACTTAAAGCGTACAGTATCAAGTTGAAGGCAGATAATAAGAAATTGAAAAAATACAAGAAAACGGTAGATTATAATTATGGAGTCTTGGACTCAATCAATTCACAACTTATGAGGGACAATGCAAAATTAGAGAGACAATGTAGTATATACGAATGTTTGATAGAGAGCCTTGAAGGGACGAATCATGATCAAAACTTTGAAATTAAAGAATTGAAACAAAATTTACACAATCAAATCAACAATAATGTTTATAGTAACAATGCTAATTTAAAAATCAATAATGAATTGTCATTGGTAAAATCTGAGAAATTAGAAATGTTGGAGAAATTAGACAGGTTTGAGAAATCGTTAGTGGAGCAAAGTGAAATAGGAAAAGATCAAGATATACAAATTAAAAAATTGAATTTTCTATTGAATAAAGAAAGAGACAACAATAAAATAAATGTTAAAAAGGTTAATAAATACTTGAATATTATTCAGGATTTGAATAAAGATAAAGAAGATTTGAAAAATCTCAGAGAAATAGAACAGCTTGAACAATTCAAGCAAACCATAAAGTGCAAAGTATGTTTTGAAGAACCTATTACACACGCATTCTCTCCATGCAAACATTTTGTCACTTGCCAACAATGTTCCAGGTTGATTGATTGCTGTGTTGTGTGTAGAGCAAGGGTTAGGGGTTACATTAGAATTTATCTCTAAATCCATGTTTTTCTTTTTGAGTTATATAATATAAGATCTATTATGAAAATAGTAATAGGTCGATTTTTAAAAATATTGCCATTTTACAAAAATGCTTTAAATCATTCTTATATAAAATTTCACACAAATTTATCCTTTTCTTAATTATTTTTGAAACTAATTAGAAATTTTTTTTTTTTTAATTTAATTTTGGAAAAATAAAAAAATTTTAAAAATTATCCCAAATAAATTTAATCTCCACAAAGAAATTTCTGACCATTATCAATGTTAAAGAGGGGCCAAATTTAAGGATTTTTAAGTGTAAGTCAGCAATAAAAAAAGTATACATCCGAGAAGTCGATTCTGAATTTTGGTAAAATGAAATAAAAAAATGGAAGACCCATTATTACTATGTCGAGCAAACATTTTACAAGTAACGATCTATCAATTGGCATTTAAAATAGGAAGGGATATATAGCCAACGCCCGAAATCATGAACTTGAGAATAAATTATCAGGATTTATCATTTATCTTACATTCTCGTAGCTTGGCGTCATAAACAATCTGTTGAATAAAGCATCGATATACTGTATTTGAGGTAATTTACACTTTATCACACAGCCCATCAAATTCTGAATGAAATGAAAGATGCGATTAAACAAATCAGAAATAAATCCAAGATATCCAAGATTTACGTGAATGCGATTTCATAGACAAGACGTGAGAAATAAGTGCAGATAAAAAAAAAATATCTCTGTTAATGAAACATTTGCAAATTAAATATAGTTGGGAAATTCCAATAACCATTTTTTACCTCAAAATGGTAGAGTTTTTTTAATCGTGGTGGATCAAGAAAGACATTGATAATTATTATATTAAATTAATTGATCGTTACATGTTTTTATTATTCAAATAAAAATATGCACTATTAAAAAAGAACAAAGTGAGAAAATAGATGGCTTATGATTTTTATTTTTAACTGATCTTCAGAAACTTACCTCTGGAAATTTAAATAATTGGCAAATTGGTTGAAGAAATATTTTTTACACATGACAGAAACTTGGAATTATGCATGCGTACCTTGGCACACAAATGATTTATTGTTTTATAGTGGCCGAAACTTTGTCTAGGAGTATATTTTATAAATTGATTTTGATAAATCATTTACAAGTATTGCTAATATGTTTAATGATAAACCATATTTGTTGGGATTAATAATGTTTAATCAAAGCTGTAATATTTTTGTGAATAGTAAATTTCCTGACGATATTGTTCACTATGAAAACATGGTTAAATAAAAAAAAATTTCGTATAAATAATTTACCCGATAGTTTATTGAACGCAAAATGAACACCTGCAGCAGAGTAAGGTCTGCCAGAGGCCAGAAATGGCTAGTCACTGTGCGGTGATAACCGTCTTTTCGCGGAGAACGGCCTAATTTTAATGTTAATTAATATTGATCTTATTATGCGGATTATCGAGAAACGACAAATAATTTCCTTGTAAGAATTTTTATTGAAAAATTATTAGTATTTTTATCAATTATTATTGTCACTATTTATTACCTCATTTTATCCATTTAATCCCATTATTATTGGAAACAACAATATTGTGAAATTGAGATTTAAAATCTAATTAAAATATTTTAGAAATAATAAAATCAAAACTGAGCCAAGCACTCTATCAGCCATGCAAATTACAAGACTTTTGCATGTTGCTCGAATTTGTTCATTGATCAAATATAGAAGATGATATTAAATTGTTGATAAATTAGCAATGCTAACAATCGATACAAATTTCTTCTTTTCTAATGAACATAATATATTACTGCAATAATTAATAATGATCTAATTTGTCTCATCAACTCTTCTTCGCATATTTTCATAACTGCTGGAATTCGTGATATTAAATTTGCACCTTGTTGCTGAACTTTTGCTGATTTACTATAAAGACACCATGAAATTATTGATGTGATCCGTTGTGAATATGGTTTTACTCGTAGTGCATTAACCAAATCATCATGTTCATAAGAATAATTGCTGAATCAAGGGAACAAGGGTTACCACCACCATCATCAAAAAAAAGGAATGTTCGGCCTCCATTAATTATAAAATAGCACATGACGCGATTGGAACCTCACAACATTCCGAAGATTCTACTACCACCTCCGAAATATTCACTTCTCCCTGAAGTTACTGTTCCAAAGCTGTTGACAGAACATCCGATGAAACATCTGATGCTTCCGGTGAAGACATTTATATTCTTTCATTTATATATATATATTTATATATTTACAGTGTGTTTCAAAAAAAAGGGCGCGCACAAAAAGTTGCATATCTTAACAATTATGCAAGATAAACAAATAAAATTAGATTCATTTAAAAGCCTATCGAATACTTTATTAAATAAATAAAAATTAATAAGAAATTCTATCTCCGTTTTTTTCTAATACCAATTCACATCTCCGTTTCATAGACATAATAATATTTTTGACCGTATCCTGTGGAATTTTCTCCCACTCCTCAACCATAGATCTCTTTAATTTGTCAACATTCTTTGGCATTCTTTTTTCGACATTATTTTTCATGATATACCACATGTTCTCAATGGGATTAAAGTCAGGACTATTGGATGGCCAGTCTATTGGACGAATTCTTTTTTCATCAATAAAAGTTTTTGCACGTCAAAAAATAAAGAAAAGACAATATGATAAATACATATAGGAGTTGCTTATCATATAAGCGAGATATCCAATCATTTTTCATCATGTGAAAAATTTTTTATTCATCTCAAATTTTCAAAATGAATTTACATTGTGCGCGCCCTTTTTTTTGAAACACACTGTAGATACGACTGTCACAACCGCTGCAAATAGTTTTCAATTATATTAGTATTATTAGTCATATTAGTCATGTGAAAATTTTCTTTCAGTAACTGTAATTGACGAATTCAATTAGCCAGTCATTATTTACAAATTTGCATCAGCCGTAGTTATTTATGGCAGTTTATATAAAAATTCTAAAATTTACCAACTAAGCTATAGGTAAAATTAATATTTGAAAAATGTCCAAATTTCTACAAGGTAAAGTTTTTTTGTCTTCTGGCTAATATAAGCAGTGATGTTAGCCATTTAAAATCCTTAGCCAGGTAGGCTGTTTACCACCTAAATTGATAATTTTATTACTATAACCAGACATGGGATGGTAATTGTTTTGTCAAAACTTAAATTACGTACGACAAAATTAATTACGAGTGTAGAAAAAATAATTTTATATTTAAAAAAATACACTTTATAAAGTACCAAATAAAAAGTACCAACACAAAATTTTCAATTTTTGTAAAAAAAAAATCATTTTAATGAAAGATATTGTCACCATGACGAACAGGCACTTTAATTAAGGATACCGGCTGCAACTTTTGATGATGGTTGCTACCACCTTTACAACCATTTTGTTTCCTTTTTTGGATTGCGACATGGAACACTAACTTTAATTATTGTAAAAATACAAATTGATATTTTATTTTATTATCCTAAAATGACGTTTTTTTAAATATAAAAAAAAATACAATTGATATTGTGAGAACGAAAAGTGGTTAGGTCACAGGAAGCAATAAGATTAGCCAAACTTTCTGATAGGACATTTTATGATTGACCTAAGAAAATCATTACAAAAACAAGTCACTTTTGACTAATTCAAAAAAACATCAGGTTAATTAATTAATATTTCAGAGCCTTGCTAATATGTAGAGGCATAAATATTTATTTATTATCATTAATTTAATTTACATGTAAAAATAATTTCACCAATATTTTCATAGTGCTTGGAACGGTGTTGCAGAAATACTTGAGATTTTTAATTCTTCAATAATGATGGTTAGTACAACAATCTCAGGAAAAAATGTTCATACATTGTGTGAAAAAATGAAAATAGAATGAAATAATCTTACAGTGATCAGATCATTATCATTTTCCCATCCTCATATTTTTTTGGAAGTGAAGGAAAAAAAGAAACCAAGAAATGAAGATAGTTATACCAGGTTGTTGAGGAAATAATCCTGTTGGGAGACACATAGTATATCATGTGTCTTTAAATTTGTGAAAACTTAAAAAATTATTTAACTCTTAAAATCACAAATTTTAGTATTGGTTTTTATCATGGTGAAGAAAAACATAATAAATTGATGAAATGGGAAAACTGGACCTTATCTTATTCACCAGGTTTGGAAAAATGGAGTTTACAAGCTACATGAGACTGAGACAACAAAAATCTTGCAAACACCAATAAATGGAAATAGATTAAAGAAATATTTAATAGACCAGCCTGGGAACCATCAATATGGATAAATTAAAAATAGATATTGTTTCAGGATGAAACACAGATAATGAAAAAATACAAAGGCAGAAAACAAATAATGTCAGAAGACAACAACAAATAAAGTCACATAAACAAAATTTCATTCAGAGAATGAGATAAGACAATATTTGTAAAACATTAGTCATGTTGACAAAATGTTGACTAATCAGAAGATAAGAGATTGTAACAAAACAAAGGGTCAACAGAGCAACAAGATGAGGTGGAAGCACAAAAAATCAATTAGTGAAGAAATTCTTATAAAAGACAGAGATTCTGACCAAGTGACAAAATAACTTTTTAGTTAACAATTAAACAATTAAATGCCTAAAACCCCAAAACAAATATTACCTAACAAGGAAAAAAATTTTATATATCACATGCAAAGTCCAAAGAAGACTCACTGCCACAAAACAATTAATAATTATAATTATAATCAGCCACCATCAGAATTTCTTTCAAATCGACCAATTAACCACTGGACAGAGAACAAGGATAATAATAAGTGGGAATACCTTGAATTCTTCATGACTCAACTAACAATATCACTCAACAAATTCCAGAAGACACAAAATTGGTATTATTGGAACCAGTTCCAAAGGAACCACCATCTC